TTTTGATGAGACCTAATTTGGAAATGAAAATTAAAATCTGCCAGTATAAAAAAAAATCGATTGAATTGACGTGTGAAATGTTCAAAGTTTACCACATTCGAACTCGATATTCTCATGTTTCGATTGTCTCATCATATCAACAAAGATCTTATCTCCGTCTTCCTTATAGAATGCTTCTTGTTGAGTTAGTTTTTCATCGAACGGAGTTATCTAAGGATAAATGCAATGAATCATATGAATTTCATTTTTTTTCAGCACACCAATTACAAAATTATACCCATTTCCCTTTAAAATATGCCGCATTGACAATGGCGAATGTTGTTCCTTGACTTATAAGACTTGGTGGAATAAGATTTCTGATTTGTTTCTTTGTAAACTCTTCAACGAAATTGTTGATGTGTGCGGTGTATTGAGCGGGTTCTTCAAAGAAATTGAGTGATTCAATATTGTTCCTTCCCAATAGATTCCCCACCGAATCACTGTGCAATCAAAAAAGTTTTGTTTTTAATGATGATTAATCAAACCAAAATAATCAATTATTTAATTTTTTTTACCGAATTTTAAGTTCCGTTGTGACGTATAGCTTATTAACCGAACTGAATTCGATTGTTTCATTTTGAAATCGACTGAACTGTTCATTTTTCGATTTATACGAATATTCAACATCTGATTTATTTCGAATCCAATTCAATTCCAATAAAGAACGAGGCGTAAATTCTTGCTGATTTTTATACTATTGTGCTTTCAAGCAGTAGTGGAGAAGCTACGGACTCAAATACACTGTACTTCAGTACTATTGATTGGTAAATAATCATGGCGGCTCCATATTATTGCAAAAAGCACAAATGGTATAAAGCCTTCACACATTCTTTTTTAACTGTTTCTCTGTTTCATCGGAAACAGTGAAAAAAGTCAATAAAAGTGCCTCATAAAGGCTATGTGGCGAGTAGAAAACACTTTCATTGGGCTTATCATTTTGTAATTGTTTCAATATTGATATCGCAAAGGTTAATCGAGGGTAATACGGTTTTTCAGGCGGTTTATCATCGGTAATATATGGATCCGATTTTAAATTGTAATATACAATTGGAAATGCAACCAATGTCACTAGTAAAAACACTCCCACTTTTTTCATATTTTACGCTGAATAATGAACTGATTAACGATTTTATTGCCTCAAAATGTCTTTTCTACGCACTAATTTTTATGCAACTGAAGAAACATCATGTGCTGTTTGTTCTGTACTGCATCAACGATATCTCGTTGAATACGTCTTATTGTTACTTAATTCACCATACACGTAGAATCGTACGATTCTTCATTCTGTTCAATCGATTTTAGTTTACTGAAGATGTATTTGACGTTTCACATTGACTAACATATACATTTTTATTTCTCTTTCAACGTGAAGAACCCATATGCTTGCTGTCTACTACGACTGAGTACACAAGTCTGTTGCAAATAGTCATAGTAGCATGCGTACGAATGTATCTATATTGGCTCTCTAACCGTTCCGCTGAATCCGTATACACATAATGATGTGTGTTAGAGCGATGCAATGCTCTCGCTAATGCTTTATCGTGCTCTATATTATATCCCGCACACAGCCCGCCGCGTAGTATATTTCACCGCACAGCAAGCATATGGGAAGGGACAAAATTCAACAATATTCAAGTATAATAATAATGGCAGAGTCAGCTAAAAAAAATTCTTTCAATTCACTATTTAAAGGACTTTTGTTAGGGAAAAAACGATCTGTATGTATGAAGAATAGTTTTTTGAATCCTTCACATAAGAATTGTTACTTTTTGGTTGTTAAGTTTTGTTCCTTCACATTGAAAGAGAAAAAACTACCACTTTTAACGTTAGCGGTCAACATTAACAGAGACACTATAGCATATAGCATTAAACGCACTATTGCTTCACTCTTTGTACACACTTTGACATCACTTATGCTTTGGCGCGCGTCGTACGTTTTTTAAACGTTTATCTTTGTTTCAAGTATTTCACCGATTTCACCGAATTTTCTTACTTAATATCAATATATTCATTCTTACTTGGAAGTTGTTTTTTTATTGCAATGATGTTTTAAAATATATTTTGTCGAGAAATATTTTTTTTTGCAATTTCCAAAATTAAATGAAATTAAAACACAAAGCAAAAAACGTATTCAAAGTAAAAATAAAAGTGTATTATTATCGCAAAAATGATCGATACATGAAATTATTATTGATATTTCAGACATTGATTGTACGCATGATGTTGGATATGTGCCGTTACCATTTTGCTAACACAATTGAATTGCATTGCAGCTCGAATCAGCGAATCATAAGATGCCAAACACTCTCACCCAAATACAACTAAGATGAAATCCTCCGTGAAAAAGCGCCATGTTTATCATTCATTTTCATCAATTTATCTTTGCCATCATATTTTTGTTTTACTTTGTCGAACAACTTCTATATAACTCAAATTTCAACATTTGCAACATGAATTTCAACACAAACAACAGAATTTCTCGATTCATTTCGTTTGAGCCAAAATTACGTTTTTCAACTTCGTCTGCAAATGAATTTCATCTCGTTGAAAGATTAATTTTAAAGTACATTTCGTGGAAAGCCAGCGATATTTGACCAAAGAGTTTCAAGTTGTCAAAATATCAATAATTTTTTTAGAGCTTTTTCGACATTTTGCCAATTTTTTCCACTAATTAATTGAGATTTTCACGTTTTCTCGCCATTTTACGCCGTTGTCTCCATTTAGAATCCGACAATCTATTTGAAAATGGTCCAAGACTCTTTTTCTTTACATGAAATGCATTGATTAATGAAGGTGAAACTTTACACTTGAAAAGTGATAAGCGATGGAAGCAAGAAGTTGGATGGAAGACAAGAGAAGAGTTATAGTTCTAAATTAAGCATACAACTTTAGCTTGGGCTGTTATCACTTATCTCTTATCAGTCTCGATCAAGTCTATGTTCCGCTTTAGTCGATTTCTTTTCTTCGTTTAAACTAAAAACTTCAAGATCAAAAATATGAAGTTTCATCTTCATTATAACCAATTTAAATCGACTTGAATTGAATATATCTGTGAGTAGTGTCACACTGTCAGTGTGCACTTCAGATACTCAAGAGGTAATTCTGTGATCCAGAGAGGTTTTTAAGCATTTTGGAGGAAAAAAATCATTTTCATTAGCTCAGATTTCTGTAAATAGCCCGTACATTTGATTTTTTTTAATGGATTTTTGGTATACTGTGTACCGTACACTGCTATTTTGTGACTGACAAACGTCAGTGACAATGACAATCTAAATAAATTCAAAAGATATACATAAGATAGTTATTAACTTGTTACAACTTTTATCCAAGAATATTCATCACAAATCCCGATTTGCAAATATTTCGATCAGCCAATTTTGTTCTCTAATTTCGATCATATTGCTGGAGTAAAAGTTTTTCTCCACTTTCCTAAGCTAAGTTCTTCAAAATTGCGTAAAAATCGATGCAAACATTCCTTTTTCCGAAGAAAGTGCAATTCGGCATAAAAAAAAAAGAATAAAAGGTCGAGACGAGGTCTGGGATCATTTTATGGAAAAGAACATTTAAACTGATGCAACCAAATTGTTTGCTGTCAAATCCTGCCTCGCTCACACCAACTGTCACACTGACTCGTTCGCGAAGGTCCTGCATCTAAGCGTCTGACAGCTCACTTCTAGCGCTACGAGACAAGTGTCAAAAGTTGTGACACAGATCGTTCAATGTATTATTGAATCTTTTTTATATTTGTTAATAAAGTAGACAAAAAAAATAAAAATGTCACGAATGTGCAAAATTGATTTTTGTGAGAGCGTAGCACGCGATAAACATTATTTTTATAATTAAAAAATGTTTCTTTCATTACGGAACATTGTTGATGCGTTCAATTTGTCGCGTTCATGAGTGCGTCTAACGACGTAAAGAATTGAAATGAACTTCACTGAATGCGCTCATCGCAAATTCGTGTTTTACTTTGTTTTGTTAGTGTGGTGCAGGGGTTGTGCTCGTTCGTGTACGAATTGTTGTTAGCGTAAAAGAGATGTTGTTCGCAGTAAACTCAGTTTAGATGTTCTTTGCCAATAGACAGATCGGTCGTTCTTATCACAATGTTCTGAATCTCGGCGAGACAGTCATTTTCGAACATCAATCCATTTATTACCAACATTTTCCATAATAATCAGATCACCAAACCACATAATCATTTATCTCAATGCTGTTGCGCAGCATGCACAACATTTAAATGTGCCACAATATTAACCAATGACTGCTTAAAGTGTTTTTTTTTTTAATTTTCCAAATTAAATCTAATTGATCGGCTTTGAACATTTCTCCTATTGTTTGTTGCATTCAAATTCACTCATGATTTTGGGCTGTTCGTTGATTCAGTCTCAGAAACCAATTACAGAGCGTTGTACTTGGTTTAAAGGAAAATTTGGAATTGAAAGAGAATTCAAACCTCCCTCAATAAATCATCTTCGATTCAATTCAACTAAAATGTTTTACTTACCATTGAACAGTTAACAGCTTCAATTTTTGAAGTTCAATGATAACCAGCTTCGACTGCGATTTTTTCTCTAACTTTCAACTTTCACACTAGTTTCATTCAATTTGTCATCAAATCCATTTTGCACATTCAATTTTCCGAAAAAATTTGGCTTCAATTTCAATTGTAATGAAATAGATGCGTCTCTTTATTAAATATTGAAACCAAAATCATCACCGAACAACACACTCTTTTATTAGTATTATTATGCTTTTGATATAGATCAGTTAGGGAAAAATTCATGCTTTTTATTCAACGATTTTTCACAGGTTTGACTTGCTTCGTTCCAACTTTGTATTTGATTTAAGATTAAATAACATTTATTATTGATGTTCAAATTGTCATTTAGTATACGTAGCATTTGATGTCGATTCATTGGACGACAATTGCACACGCAATGTTTTTGGATCCATGAGGAAAAAATCTTTCGTTTTTATTTCAAACAAAATTGCAACACGTACATTTCAAAAAATATTTTCAATTAAATTTTGAACCAATTTTTTAACCGAATATACTGTCAACTCGGCAATCAACGAATTTTTTTTTCTAACCGATTACTTCATTCCAAAGAAGAAATGCATGAGCTAATTTTTTTGGCCAGAATAAAAACTCACCGCTGTTTGCTCCTACAGAACGTCATAAAAAACATGATATCGGCACGAGAAAAAAAAGTCCATTCAAACCGAATATCTAAATGTCATCGTAATTTTTGCGAAATTGACGTTTTTATTACTTCATTTTCCGAGTAATTGTTTTATTTTCGGTCGTTTTTCTTCCAATTGAAATCCCCGAAGCACGAGATTAAGCAGTCAAAAAGTCACTTTGTTTAAAATGCGATTCGCACCGACAAAAAAAATGTGTTAATCCATAATTTTTACGAAATTTGCCGAAAGATATCAAAAGTAATGAAAATTGAGTTGGATAATCTAATTGAACAGAAGATTTCCGATGGCAGTTAATAACTGCCAGTTACAACACTTGGAAGCAGAGCCTTATTGAAATGCACTGAGCATTTTTTTTGGTTTCAATTTAAAATCCGAATAAAAAAACAGTAGCAATGCGATGCCAATTACACAAGAAATGATAATTAATTTGATTGCTTAAGAGTTCAGCCCAGATGAGAGAGAGAGAGAGAAAAAAACTACCGGCAAATGTATGAGATCACGTGCCACGTTGAATTTGTCATACTTTGACACCGCAGAGCTATCGAACGATATGGATGCCGTGTGTTGTTGGAAATGTACGATAGATCGAGAGCCGATTTCGATAGAGCAGCGATAGAATCGTTGTATCCGTCGTGTTTTGTGTGCGAATAAAATAAACAACCGTACCTTAACAATGTATACATTTAACTGACTGACTACTGATGAAATGTGTTTTATTTCACCCCCTGATTTTTGAGAGTCGTGCTCACAGCGGCTCGACAAACGAAACGCCGTCATCAACAACAGCAGCAACACACCACCAACAATAGTAGCAGTAGCAGCGGCAGCAATAATAACAACAACAACAGCGAGTACAATCCGAAAGTTTTTCGGTCGGCGTGTGGCGAAAAT